GATTTTTCGAAGAGTTAATGCTCGAGATCGACTTATTCGATTATTGTCATGTCCAATTTCTCGTTTGCTTTAAAATTTCTCGTTTGATCTAAAATTTCTCATTTGATCTAATCCTTTTTCTTCTTCTTCTTCTTCTTCTTTTATTTTTATTTTTTTTTTTTTTTTATTTCTTTTTCGTTCCGAACGTTGACTTTTCCCCTTTCTTTTTCTTTTTCTTTTTTCTTTTTTTTTTTTCTTTTTTTTTTATTTTGTTTTCCAACACCCCAAGATCAAATTTGTAATGTTTCTAAAGGTCTCATCGAGGAACGATTTATTTTCTTTGGAAAAGTGATTTCTTTGAGATATTCCAGATTAGTCGAAGAATTCGATATCTAGTTCTAAGATACATATACATACATATATGTATGTATATATATATATATGTGTGTGTGTGTGTGTGTAGGTATCTGTTCAGAAAGAACCGAAGCGTGGGCGAATACGAGAAAGGCGGCCGTGGCAAAGACGAGGCATTAAACGTGAACGTGAAATCTCTGTGGCGCATGCTAAAGGGGAAAATCTCGTAGGATGTTGCCGACCCACATTCGCTAATCTCGAAAACGCATAGCCAGCAAGATCTTCCTGAAATTGACGTTGTTGCATGATATCATTCAAGCAAAAAATAAAAAGAGAGAGAGAGAAAGAGAGAGAGAGAGAAATAGAAAGTAAAAGTCCGATCCTTGTAGATCCTGATTTATTTTTTTTTCTTTTTCTCTTCTCTAAATTCTTTGATCATTTTCAAGGACATATAAATTTTATATGTATACGTATACATACATATATATATGTTATACATGTAGGTGTAAAAAAAAAAGAACCCATTGATCCGACAAGAAGGGAAGATCATTGAAATTCTATCGTATATTTAAAATTTATTTCAAAATTGAGATAACCTCGACGATGACATATTTAAAAATATCATTAAAGTGCACAGAATTAGAAGCGCGTCATGATTTTCACGAACACGAGACGTGCTCCAACGTATGAATTTCGATGTTAAACCGTGCCAAATGTGAATGTTCTTTAAATAGTCTTTTGAAAACAGATCTACGAGCAAATATCTAGTAAGCGAAGGAATTCATTGACGAAAAATTCATTCATTAAAACTATCGTAATAAAAGAGAAGATCTCTTGTCTTCTTCATTATGAGAATATATACCGAAAGGAATATTTTCTCATATTTTTGGACCATTATGGTTACCTCGAAATTTAAGGATCGAATCGATCGATCTTTTTTCTACGAAGAAAAAAAAAAAGAAGACGAAGGAAAAAAAAAATATATATATATATATATATATATATATATATATATACCTACAACGAGAACTGATTACGCAACTCGAAGAGTCGAACCAAACGAACGTTCGAAATTCTTTTAAACGAACTTATGTACATATGTTTCAAGGAAAAAAACAAAGTATCGCGTGTAGAAATGAAGAAAAATTGCGTGCTCGACGTTTCTTTTCTTTATATTTTTTTTCTCTCTTCTTTTTTTTCTTTCTTTTTTTTTTTATTTATCATCTTAATAACGAAAAATGCAACGAAGAAAACAAAAAAAGCTGTCAACGTTTAAATTAATGCGGGATCGACAAAAATCGAAGAACGAATTAGATTGCGAGAAACAAAAGAAAATAAAAAAAAAAAAAGGAGAAGAAAAGAAAACTTCGATTGATTCCAGTTTCATTTGGACGATTTGTGAAGGGGGTCGCGGAGATGGGAAGGGGGGGAAATGATCCGAAAGATCATTTTTTTCTTTTGGGATTAGAGAAGTAATGAATTTTTTTAGAAGGATGAGTGAAGGCTGGGTGGGTGAGGAACGAGGATTAGAAACAAAGATAACGAAATGAACAAATAAATACTTACCGCCCCCATTCTGTTGGCATAAATAAGGGAACCTCCATATATTTCCAAGACCGACGCTGTAACCAATGATGCTCAGGAAAAACTGCATCTTCCCGCTCCATGCCGCTCTGTTATCTTCCGTTCTTGGTTCCGCGTTGACAGCCGATGCATTTTGATTTCCGGAAACCACAATGGTCACGTTATGAGGAGGTTGACGATCATCGTTTAGAGGAGCCAGCTCGTGACCGTTCCTCGTGCTTTCAGATTTCACGACCATCGTTCTAATCTTCTCTTTAGTTTTGTTGTTTTTTATTTTTCTTTTATATCCTTCTTCTTATATATATATATATATGTATATATATGTATATATATATATATATCTTTCTCTCTTTCTTTCTCTTTCTCTGTCTGTCTTTTTATTTTATTCTTTCGTGATGGTAAAGAACATTGATCGGATTTTCGATAAAACTTGAAGCATCGGACGTTTCAGATAAGTATATATTATATACATATATAGTATATATATATATATATATTTATATATTTACGAAGACCGGATCTCGCGTTAAGAATAACAACAATGCGTAAATAACAAATAACAATTTGTGATCAACAAACTTTCGTTTTTTGCAATCCGTCTTTAGAATCCTCTTTAAATTGATTAATTAGAGATATATCAAATTCTCACTCTCTTTCTCTCTCTCTCTCTCTCTCTCTCTCTATATATATATATATATATATATATATATATATATAAATATATATATATATATCCGTATCGATATTAATTTCTATTATTTAATTTCTATCGTATAAATGTGTTAGGGTTGAGCGATCGAAATGATTTTTCAAGCGATCGAATAGGAAGCATCGTATATCTCTATTTAGCAGATAAAAGAAAGAAGATTAGTAATATGATTCGTTAGATTCGAAGTTAGAATCAAAGACTTTCTATCGTTGGACTCGTTGAAAGCTCATATAAGTGTCGTCAACGCGATACGGAGGATAAATAGTGTCGAGGAAGAGGAAGCTGTGGTGGTCGTAGTTGTGAAGGTGGAATAGGAGGAAAAGGGGAGATGGAGAACAAAAAGGAGGAAGAGGAGGAGGAGGAGGAGGAGTAGGAGTAGGAAGAAAAAGAAGGAGGAGGAAAAGGATGAGGAGGATGGACGATGACACTCTCAAAGAACTTTGTCACGTTTTTTTCCTTTCGGTATTTGCTCGTATCACACCTCTTGATATTTATTACAACACTTTTGTCATCGGACACTTTCGTGATAAGGAATAGCAGAGGTTGTTTGATTCTTCTTCTAAAGGAAAGTGACGCGATCGATTAATCGCGCGAGACCGCGTGTCGAGATACAAAAGCGAACGACACGACGCCCCCTTGAGAAAGAAACTACCTCTCTCTCTCTTTTTTTTCTTTTCTTTTTTTTTATCTTTTTCTCTTTCTATTTCTTTTTCTTTCTTCCTTTCTTTCTTTCTTTCTCTCTTAAGATCTTCAAGATATATCAATGTTTCTGTCTCTCTCTCTTTCTCTTTCTCTCTTACACTTTTACTCTCCTTTTTTCTCTTTCTCCCTTTATAAATCTTTCTTTATATATACATATATATATATATGATATATATATATATATATATATATGTATGTATGTATGTATGTATATCTCACAAACACGTCAACTCAGGTCCTCTCTTTCATAATTCATTCATTAATTACATATATACATATATCTATATTTACTTCTTATATTTATTATAGAATATATTAAAATTTTATTATAAACTTTTGTCGATTACTTAAACTTGATACTTTTTAAATTACGATGGGTACAATCGTCGATTTGTATACGTGCCGTATATCGGACAAACGTAGAACCCATGTATACTGTTTTACAAGACTCAACCCTTTAGCGATATTTAGGATCAAATCAACCCCCTGTTTAAAAAAGAGAGAGAGTTATATATCTATCTCTGTCTCTCTCTCTCTCTCTCCTCCTTCTCTCTCTCTCTCTCTCTCCTTCCTTTTCTCCCTCTCTCCCTCTCTCTTTCTCTTTCTCTCTCTCTCTCTCTCTCTCTCTCTCTCTCTCTCTCTCTCTCTCTCTCTCTTTCTTTTTCTTTCTCACGTTTTCTCCGAAACGAAAATCACAGATCGCAAATGGTAATCACTAACGAATAGGTGTACCTTGACGTGTTAGAGAATGTGTGTGCTCCACGAACGACGATATTGGACTGAGCCTTGAGGGGACGACGTATGTAGTCGCTTTTGTGCTTCGACGACGTTGATGCTCGTGCGCGAAACACGCTCTGCGAGGGAGCCGGTCGGCAAAACAGCGATGCCTTCCTTCTTCAAGCCTACGACGAGAATCTCTCTCTTTCTTTCATTCATACGTACGCAAGGCACATATTCAAACACATATACGCATACACTTTCGATTATACCAGCCCTCCGATTGGTCCAACTAATTATATACGTAAGCCTTTACCTATTCTTTCTATCCCCCACTTTCTATTCTCTTTCTGTCTCTCTCGCTCTCTCTTTCTTGTCAGATTTATTCGCACTGGAGAAACAAAGATACCTAACTTTCTTTCTATCTATTCATATTTCTATCTATCTATCTATCTATCTATCTTCTTTCTTTTTTTCTCTTTTTGTATTTTTCTCTTCTCTTCCCTTTTCTTCCTTACTTTATTTTCTTATTAAATGATTTTCTCAAACGTCCCTTGTAAATTATCAGTGATACCGTGGTATACACGCTTTTGCGCGTGTGCTTCCATCTTCCTCGTACCGACTGGTCGTGGTATCGATCGTGAAACATTCTACCTCTCCCTTACTCTTACTTCTATGCTGTAATGCTATGCGCTTTTTTAATAATGATATCCTACGTCTCGTTGTATTGTTGACAATGATAATCGTAATATTTCGATGATCTATCCTATCGTGAAATTTCTGAGATAAATGACAAAAATCTTCTTTTCCTTTTCTTTTTTTTTTTTTTTTTTTGGTTTTATTCTTATCTTTTGTTAAGAGAGAAAGAGAGAGAGAGAGGGAGAAATCGATCTTCCGTTTTAGCAAAAAGAAAGTAATAAAAGAAAAAAGATTTTTATTATTTCAAGGAAGGGTATCGAACGATACCAACCCGAGAATGCATAATGCAATATTACGAATGCACCAAATGTACATTTACGTAGGTAGCACGACTATCGTATTCGCTTCGAAATTTATTAGAAATTTATTTCATAATCTTATCTTTTCTTTCCTTTTTCTTCTTCTTTTCTTATTTTTTTTCTTTGTTTTTTCTTTTTTTTTTTTTTTTTTTTTTGATCAAGAAAAACACATCGTTTGAACTTGTCGAAGAAATATCGAGCGCCGTAAGTATGCATAATGCAATATTTCAAACGTATGGAAAAGAAAGAAAAAAGAAAAATGCGTTCCTACTTTAACTTGATTATAAATTCGTTTGAAATTTTTTTTTAATAAATTTCAAAGAAATTTTAAATCAATTTCGTATTTATAAACAATGAAAAATGTTTATTGAATATAAATTGATTGAGCAGTGGAATAGATGCATAATGCAATAGATTTAAAAAGAACGCATCTACGTAACATGTCTGTCGATGATACTCTTTTATTCATCAATCGTTTACGTGAATGTTACGTCCACGCGAGAGGATTTCTTGTCTTCGCCAGCGCGGAAATGCATCGCGTGTTCCTGAGATTCAGAATTCTACTATACGACGTAGATAGCTTCTGATAATAGATCGTGGACCAAATTGATTCGTTCTCGTCTATTATATGGGTCAGGAGAACGCGATGGCGCCCTATTCTTACGGAATAATATTTCCAATCGGTAACTATAATGTTATCGTTTTGAAAAGAAAAGAAAAGATAAAAGGTAGCGAGAAAGATCACAAAAATAATTTGAAAATCGAAGAAATTATAATTTCCGAGTAAAGGAAAGAAAAAAAAAAAAAAAGAAATAGAATCCGAATAAATTACAATCTATAATAGTTATTAAAAAATCAATTGAAAGTTTCGTCATCGATAGAGAAAAAAAATCAGGAACGTAGGAAACAAAAAAAAAAAAAAAGATAAGAGTAAAGAGAAAGATTTCGTAATTTGGAGAAAAAATTTTGAAATCGAAGAAATCAACAGTTCGATAATTTGGAGAATAAAAAATCAATAATGAATTAGACAAAATTCTAATAAAAACATAGCTGGAATTTTTTTCCTTCTTGAGATTCATTCGAACGAAAAAGAAAAGAAAAGAAAAGAAAAGAAAAAAAAAAAGAAAAAAGAAAAAGTATACATCTGAGCTCCACTTCTCACCCTAATTTCAACCCTAATCTCTTTTCAATCGACCCTTCGTGTAATCGTCAACACAATCGTGTCTCTCTTTATCTTTTGATAGCAACGAGATGCATGCAGATGTATCATCTGACGTGCATATAGTAATGGTCCACGGCAGCTTCGACCGATTACGTAAACGCTCGCGTAACCTTTCGACCTCGTCCTTCGTTCTTTTTCCCCATCTCTCCCTTCCACCCGATCGTCCACATAGCACCACCCACTCGACGAGGTCTCTAACTTCGTTTATATGCTTGTAGATACCATATTCATCTACTTTTATATATTTTTTTTCTACGCGAAGATCATATTCGTCCGAATTTTCTTCTCTCTCTCTCTCTCTCTTTCTCTCTCTCTCTCTTTCTCTCTCTCTTTTTTCTTTTTTTTTTTTTTTATATACGGGATACGAAATATGCTAATTTATTTCGAACATTCGTACATACGTACGTCTATTTCTTTATCTCACAGAAGAATTTACACGTGCATGTGTGAGTATGTATTTAATCAAATTGATAATTTATATAATGAAGATAAATATTATGAGATTAAATAAATAAAAGTATCTCAATTATGTTTATATAAATTATTCAACTTTTTTATTGTCACAAAAATTATGTTAATTTGAATCTTTCTTTTTTTTGTCGAAATACTAAAAATTTTAATTCGTTCATTCATTCATTAATTTCACCTCTCTCTCTCTCTCTCTCTCTCTCCCTCTCTCTCTCTCTTTCTCTCACCATCATTCATAATATGTTCCATAAGATCGATAACTTATACTTATACATATAAATATTATGAAATAATTGATCAATGGATATAAAAATATTTATTTCAATTAGTACCGGGTCAAATGGATATTGATTAATGTTTCAATATAATTCAATGAAAAAAAATTGATACCTTTTTATATTCCATTTTCTTTTAATACTACGAAGTTATATCGTTAAAGAAAATAAACATGAATTTGATTTTTCTTATATAAGATGGTATAAGGTAGATTATATAAATCAGGATTTCTCAATTCGTATAATTTCGAGCTGACCGGATAGCATTCGATCGAAGATTTGACGAAAGTAGGGTGTAAGAAAAAGATAAACGATGAAGTGAGTGAGAAAGACACGACGATTAGACAATTACATATGTAATAACGTCATAAGGCCTTGTCTAATCGAGCCGTCTAATAGTACAAGCACGATGCTTTTATTAAACGGGGGGAACTATTCGATGCTAAAGATTAATTCGCGTTGGTTATCTATAGATTTTTTTTTTTCTTTTTATTCCTAAAATATATTTTATTATTATTTGTTTTTCTTTCTTTGTTTCCCCCTCCCCCCATCTTTTTTTCTTTCTTCGATCAATAAATCCTCCA